GGGGCTCGGCCACAACCCAGCGCTATTCCCTCCCCAGCCCTCCTGCCTGTTCACACCTGAACTGGGGCCAGGTCTCCCCACTCTCGATGCACCCCTGTGCAGGCCCCCAGCCTCACTGGCTTACCCCAGCAACACAGGGTGCCCCGTGACCGCACCCACCAAACCATCTGCACGTGGCAGTGGGTGTGTGGGATAAGGTGTGATCACGTTCAGGTGTGGCTCTGCACAGGCTGTGGGCTTGTTTCAGTTTTTGTGAGGAGGGGGCCCCTGTGTTCTCCCTCCCCTTCCCCTCTAACTCCGTGGTGGTGGCTCCAGACCTTTCCAGGACTGGCAGAAGGAGGAGGAGGAAGGCAAGGGACACGCTCCGCCTCCGCTGGGGACATTGGGTGTCCCTCCCTGAGGCACAGGGGATGCGGCCTGGCCAGCTGTGCAGCTTCCTTCTCTCAGCCCTGGGAATCCGGCCGGCTGTTCAGCTCCCCGGTGGGGTCACTTGGGCCCCCCAGGAGGACCTAAGGAAGATTTCTAACCTCTCTGGACGCTCTCTCAGGTGTGTCCACGCCTGCTGATGAGAAGCCAGCTCTGCTCCATGAATCTGTCTCTGTCTCTCACTGTGCCCGTGTCTATCTCTGTCTCTGTTTCCCTCTTCAGAATGACAACACAGACTCTCCACATCTGTTTCTCAGGTGTATGCGGGCCACCTGACCACTCTGCCCCTTCCAACTTCAGGTCCTCCATCGTAAGCCTCTCTCTGTGTGGCCTCTTGGTAGCTCCGGTCACCAGGCTTCAGGGGGGACAGCACTGGGATCTCAGCCTGTCGCCACCTCCCTCCAAAGACGCCATCTCACTCCTTTTTGCCTGTGATCACCTTATCCATGGGAGACTCACAACTGCTTGCTCTGCCCCATGGAGAGGGTGCCAGCTGCCGCATCCCCCACAGTCCTCTCCCACCTCTCTGCCATTCTCCCACCTCCTCTGCCGTTCTCCCATCCCCTCTGCCGTTCTCCCACCCCAGCTAGATGGCACCAGGCGGCAGCCCCAGATGCGTCTCCTATTCTCTGACAGCCCTGCTCCCTTGGCTTCTGAGATGCATGGAAAATGCTCGAATGTGCTCCTCACCACCACTCCCACAATCACCCATACCCTGACGGCTTTTTGTCCTCCCCTTCCCCGGGCTTTTGCTTAGACAGACTGGGCTGGGCTGGGTGACGGCTAGGGACAGCAAAGCCCATGAAGCTGCCTCTCATTCCCTCTTATCAACCCTGGGGAGAAGCAAAACCCCAGCTCTTCACGGCTCTCTTTCGATGGTGGGGTTTTCAGCTTTTCTGTTCTCTGCTTTGGGGTGGCAGTGTCCATTCTAAAGTTGCAGGATTCCACGGCACCTTTGTCCCCTCGAGAGCCATGAAGACCCCCATTTGTGTCAATTTCTTTGCAGCCACCAGGGCTGAGTGCCCTGGGATGGACAGGTGAGCCATGGGACAGAGAGACAGCTCACGGCTTCAACTCTCCACAGTGTCCCTCTCCTTCCACCTGAAATTGGAAGGTGGCTATGGTCCCCACGCATAGCCAGTCCTCATTTTCCCAGCAAGCTCAACCCCAGGAAGCAGATATTTAAAGACCCTGTGTTGAACTCCCCGAAGTTCTGAACCCAGCCATCTACATGCAATAGGTGTTCAATTAATGCTTCTGAAATTCTGCTGGCTGAATGCAAATGGGCTGGCGACTCCCAGATGGCCTTGCTCGGGGACCAGTTCCTGACCAGCTATTTCTCATGGGCCACCCATCAGGGAAAATGAAAACCTCCTGAATGGCCACATTTTGGTGACTAGAGCTCCCTCTGACTTTGCAGAAACCTGAAGTCCACGGTGCTAATT